TCGCTATGAGCTTATAAAGCTATATCTAGCTATCTAAATGGATACCTACGAACGTCTCGAGATTCCACCAGGCGGTCTGCTGCCGCCACCACCTCCAGAGGACAACCCTCCACCTCCTCCTGCTCTTCCACCTGGACTAGATGCCCCGCTAATGCCGCCAATGACATCAAAGAAGAAAGATGATAATGAAGCAGTTCCACTGCGGTATGTTCTCAATATGTTTCTCAAACAACTTGCAAAGATGACCTCAGTCGCAGTGCTGACGATGATTTAACCCTTCAATCAGAGACCTCGAAACAACCATTGCTCCCAAAAAGGGCTCCTTCTATAAAAGGTCAGTTTACAATTCAGCTGCCAATTTCCATTTCCTAATTGATTATGTTTAGGCAAGGGAAGACCTTTTGCTGGAAAAACGCTGAAAGGATCCAAAACGTCATCAAATACATCAAAATCAAAATCTAACTCAGAAAAGGTTGTGATTTTTTGCTCATAAAGCATTCGAAATATACTTACAGTGCGGTTGCTGCTTTCACATCGAGAATAATTTTTTTTTCAGTGTATCCAACGGTTCCTTTTCGCAGCGATAGCGGCCGCCTTCATATTTTGCTTGATATTCCTTATGTTGACCATATTCATTCTTCTACATTTGTGCAGTATTTTGGAACTCATAAGAGAATTCAACCCAGTTAGATGTCTATGATAAGCTATCAAAACGAGCAATTAAGTATAATTACAATCGACGTATCACCTTTCTTTGAAACTACGTCTTTTTAAACGGTTGTGGAGTGCCAATAAATGTGTTTTGTTATCATTGTTTTTTTAAAAGGAGCAAATACATAAATTCATGGAAATGACCGGCAGGCCCATAGTAATGGCAATCGCTTCTTATCTGTAACGGAATCTGCAACTATGAGATAGTTCTAGGTTAGGGAAGAAAAAATTAAACAATTTGGTGCGTAACGCTGAAATAGCCCCCAGCTCGGAATAAAGTCGAAGGATGATATACATAAACATCCATGAGGAGGGGAAAGAAGGCAGAAGAAGGGAGTTTATCAGCATTTTTGCTGTGGAAACAGCCGTTTATTTGTTAAAATGCGTAGCCCTACTGTGCAACAAAATTAATAACTTGGTCCAAAATTTTTTAAACTTTTCAAATAACATTCTAACTTTTCTAAATTCAATAGATTTTTCTAAGTTTTTAAAAGGAGCAAATTATGCCAGTCCCTGATTAGGCACTTGAGGTGAATCCTAGTGAACAAGGTTGTTAGGATGATCATCCGGAATTCTTTTTTTGGTGCATTTCGATTAGCAGTAAAATAAGATTCACATGACATGCTAAAAAGTGAGCAACACATTTTGTGAGTAATTAGAAGATATCAGGAAAAAAGTCAAGCAGGTACTATGAATGATGTACTTTTGAGATCGATTGATCGTTTCACCTGGGGCTACAGCTTTGGTAGACATAATGACATTTCAGGTCACAATGATAATTAGCAACCAGTATTGAATGTTTTCTTCCGTAATGTCTACTACCTCATAGCGGCGCGGGGAAGACTCTGGGTTCATTCTCCAGCAGGATCTCCCTAGTTAAGAAGGAGTTCGACGCTTCCGCTTTCTGGATGCTCAGCTAAGAGTAGGCCCTGCCAGAGTGCCACCATCTGGCTGCTTCAATCGCTAAGTAGTTCCCTAACCACAATCAGCGATTACCTGTGGTGAAGGCTTGGCAGACCCTGGCAAGGCTGCTAAGTCGGGGGGTCTATTGCTTTTACAGCATATAAAAAAGAAAAGCCCTGCACACTGGATGTCTACGCTGTCGTATGTCATCAAGACCAGGTCGGTCAGGTCGCAGAGGACGCCATGGACTTCGGTCTAAAAGGACATAAACGACTCGCCATGGAGAGTATCTCATGTACTGCACCTACACCACCAAGACAGTCTCCACCAACGCCGATCTTCACGCGCTTCTCGAAGCTGCAGGGCGCATCAACTACCACGT